CTTCTGGATCCTTTTTTTTCCTCTAACTTGGCTTGATAGGGGAATTTTGTTTAAAAGACTTACCCCTACATACACGTTTTATATGGCCCTTTTTCCCACAGTTTCTACAATATTGATCTTTGAAATAGCATTCCTGGGGTTCGTGCCCCTCTTTCCCACATCTATAACATTTATGTTGCATTGGGACTTCACGAATGCTGTTCACAGGAGGTATTGTCTTAGCTTCCCCCCTCAACTCAAGTGAATTTTTCATGGCCGTTTCCATGGCAACCGCAAGTTTTAGCGCTTTCTTGAACGTAAGGCTGGTTTCGACAAGTAAGCGTTTCTGAATAGATACATTGTATAGTCCACAAACAAATCTGTCCCTTAACGAGTCATTTAACGCTGTACCAAACTCACAGTGTTTGGATAACTTCTTAATTTCAGCCACATAAGTATTAATATTTTCATCGTCTCTTTGATCTCGCTTATGAAATCTAAATCGTTCTGCGATCAGTAAGGGTTTGGGCGACAAATGTCCTTTTAAGATTGCCACTATATGATCAAATGATTTGGTCGAAGGTTTATCAGGAGAAGTCAGTGTTCGTAATAAACTATACGTCTTACCTCCGATCACTGTCGACAAAACTGGAACTCTTTTATCATCGGCTACATTGTTCGCAAGGAAATACTGTTTAACTCTTTCTATATATGCAGTCCAATCGTTGCGTGTTTCATCAAATTCTTCTAGTTTGCCGATCGAATTCATCGCTTTATTTTGTGTCACTTCAGACGAAGACTCCATTTCTGTGACTTGTTTAAGCCTCGTCGCCAATGTAGTGTTCTTCGATATTCATTGCAGATTGTATTCATTGTGTTTTTAATATCATGTTCAAAACAACTGCATGCCTCGTGGTGATGACCCCAAAGCATCATGGGTCATACACCACATTAACCTTAACCAAGAATTTTTAACTCAATTTTGTGCATAACACACAGGGACGCCGGAACTGGAGGGGGGGGGGG